CTCGCCGTTCTTCACAGAAAACCTTCTCGATCCTTGTGGAATGTGTTTGGGAGGGCCCCCCCGGCCGTCAGAGAGCGCACGTGAGTGCGTGTTAGCAACGCGACGGAAACACGCCGATACATTCACACCAAAGGATGAACAAACGAATGTTTTTCTTGATCGCATTTGACACCCTCTCCAAGTCTCACGCAGGAAAGACGGACAGACGTATGGGCGGTGGGGCGCCGAGTATGGCAGAGCATCCAAGCCCCTGCATTCACGCGTCCGAACGGGTGGGTTGAAACAGAGGGATCTGACACATTCTTTGGGCCCAAACCCCGCTACTGGGATGAAGGCACAGACTCCCGCGGACGTTGCAGCACACTTCTTGGATGCTTCCGAGATGCCCTCGGCGATCAAAGGCTCAAAAATTCATTGAAATTCCCCAAAAATTCTTTAAAAAACAGAGAAATTCATAGAAATTCATTAAAATTCTGAAATTCAAAAACTGCAGCCAAGTTCAAAAAATTCATCAAAATTCAAAAAAATCTTGAAAATTCGCAAAAATTCATTAAAATTTTGTCAAAATTCAAAAATTCAACAAAAATTCAAATATTTCAAAAAAATTCATGAAATTCACGGCCATGTACACCAAAATTCAAAGTAGTTTCCCCTTGGTCACGCTATACTTTATCAAACAATCCACATCGCCTGAGAAGCAGAGGTATGTGGCTTGGTTACTGTTAATGAGTGCTTTAAAGCGTTTGGAGGAGAGAAGGGGGGGGGAATCATTTGACCGCTGAAACTGGCATGACATCTTTCATACTAGCCCCGGAACAAAATGTTGGAAATATTTATTTAAACCACGACTTTAAAGGTAAGCAATAAATAGCGAAACAACAATAAAGGGGTGGTGATTCTGAACGCGTAAGCGTTAACAGTGGCTGGGAAAGGTGCATGACGCCTGTTATTCCTGTATAAGAGGAATATAAGGGGGAAAATTCCTCATTCGTCCTTAAACATCAAAATTAAGCAAAAATTTTTTTTTCATAATTTTCCATGAAAAATATTGCTTTGAAACTTTTCAGGAAAACTATGAAATTTTTCATATTTTTCATGAAAAATTTCCGACCTTCGCATCCCTAGGTGCAGCTGCTATTTGAATTACGTAACGCCGGCCGCTCTGGCACTCGAGCACCGGGGACGTTTCTTTACAGTGCCTGACGGTTCGCTGTTGCTCGCGCCCTATCCAGACACCGAGCCGCGTGTCATCAGTGGCTGGAATCTGATTTGCCGACGCAACCCGGCTGCCGGTCAACTTGCTTGCGTCGAGGGACCGACGTTGGCCCGGCGAAATATTACTTACTTGTAGAAGACTCGGAGCTCGTCGCCGGGTAGAGGCACTGGTCGAGAAACAGGCCTTTCCTGAAGATTCTCTGCTTCAAAGCGGCTAGGATGTCCTCCTTCCTTGGGTCAGGGCGGCTGCGACTGCAAAGATGGAATCGGTCTTGGATGAAAAACGACAACACTAAGAAAAGTCTACGACGCGTTTGATTCGTAACTATAGTCATTCGCAAAAACTGAGGGCATTGTAGAAAAGCTTGAACTTCCTCTTTAGCTGCTAAGAATCGGGTCGACTAATTTGTCGCGATTATGTAATCCAAGCACATCAGAAGATTAAAAATTCAATTTCCAGACAAGCCAAGGTGTTTTCTTCTCCCACTGTAATAAGCTATTCCGTCTGAAAGAGGAAGGGAAGAAACTGCAAGATAGCCGCAGAGAACATAACAAACCCTCACTTGTTTCCTAAGTTTAACATGATCGGGGCTTTCAGCGCACGCGCAGAGCAGAGACAACCCGAAACCAAGTGAGGGTTTGCGGTGTTCTAGCGACGGCCATCTTGCAGTTTCGTTCCTCTTCCAGGCGGAATACCCCATTACCGGTACGTCATGCATCAAGGGGCGAAAGAGAGAGGGGGCATCTGCTCAGCATAACGCTGCGTTACAAGGGAGGATGGGGGCTCCGAGCTCGGCTCCGAGCCAGCGTAACGCTACGCTAAATAAGTACGAAACACAATTCATGAGTATCAGAAGTTAAGAGTGCCGTTACGCTGTTACCGGGGGTGGCCCAGCGTAACGCTGCGCTACCTTGGGTGCGTCCGCACTCTTAAAAGCCTACGAAGGATTTGCTTCACAGCTACGAAGAAAATGAAGGCATTGTAGAATTGCTTCGAACTGCGAAGAAATGCTTCGTATTTAAAGGATTTTGCTTCATAATACGAAGCATTTCTTCGTAGATTTTACAATGCCTTCATTTTCTTCGTATTACGAAGCGATTCTTCGAAGAGTTTTTACTGCGCGAAAGTCCCCGAGTGCGGCCCCTTCCAGGTTCAACTCATCCGAGGGGGGAACAACTGCCCACATTCATTGTACAAAATTTGAACACATTCCCAGATTCTGGAGGAAAAACCGCCTGTAAGTAGGCAACACGTGTGACAAATACAGCAGAAATCTTGCACATTCCAACACATTCCCACATTCATTGTACACTAAATCTTACAGTGGGTCACCCCTCGAACTCATCACAGCTGCACCGACCCCATCCCGCCATCCATTCCAATCTCTCTCTCGTCGCACATGCCAACGGAGCAGTGAAGAGTAGAGGTCTTTCAAGTTACACAGGGTCACAAGGCCTGACGTATCCCGATCGCTATAGACGTTAGTAAATCCTCTGTAGGGATAAGTAGACGATAGATATACGTTGGTAGAGGAATAGGTATCTTACGGCGCCCTTATCAAAAGTGGGTTAGTGTCCGTGCAAAATAGACTATTCTAGTCGTGGCCAAGTGAAAAACAAGAAGAATCGCAAAAGACATGTACAGGGCATTTGGAGTGAATATATTCACTGAAAATATGTTGAGTGTACAATAAAACATTCTCACTAACTTCTCGCCAGCAAATGGTCTTAAATATACAAAGTTAAAGTGCTAAAACGTTGTCTTTTGAGATTCTTCTTGTTCTTCACTCGGCCACGACTCGAATGGTCTCTTGGGGAAGCACTGGAAGTCAGGTGGGTCGTCTGATGAGAAACACCCACTCAACGAGCGCTGCCTCTGACATCAAGCGACCTGACTTCCGGTCTCTTTCTTTTTCCCGAGGGGTCGAAGTGGATCTACTTTTGTACTGTACGACTTTGAACGCCAACAAACATTACCGAAAGTCGGGTTGCGTTGCCGACTGAGAAAACGAGCCGCCTTTTGTCAGTGGCGAGGTTGTGATTGGCCGATGCAACCTGACTTCCGGCGAATATGCTTTCGTCTGGGGGCCGAAGTTGGTCTGGCGAAACAGTACTTACATGCAGAAGACTCGGAGCACTTCGCCGTGTTGACACGCTAGTCGGGAAACTTTCTTCCTGGCGAATTGCCGTTTCGTTTAAGGCCTATGTTGCGGTGACTCCAACCTTCAGGGCGACAACAAAGAAGGGCGGTCTTGCATGATAAACAGTAACGTCCGAGACAGGGGCGGTGCTGCGTACTCACCCGTTCGGGTGTAGGGAAGCTGTGTGGGCCAAGCGAAATCCGGGTAGTCCAGATCGGAAGAGGTTCTGAAGCGGACGTGAACGAGAAAAGGAACTGCTCACACTACATGTCATATACAATTTAGTTCGAGACATCGCAGTTTATAACACAAACTTTTGGGAAATTTTTGAAACCCGGACATTTTTTGTGAAAAATTGGGGAAAAATTTTTAGGGAAAAGAGGGCGTAAACGGGAAATCCCCCCCCGGACGCCTCAACGCCGAACCCGAGGGGCGAAAACTCCTTTGAATGGGGGTTTAAACCGGCGCCCCGAAGGGCCCCACAAAGTCCTAATAAGAAGGGGCCGAAAAATTTTAGGGTAACCCAAGGAACCTTTCCGCCAAGCAAAAAGGGCAAACCTTAGGTTAAAAATCGGTAAAAATTTGTCGGTAACCCGGAAAAAACCAAAGGGCCGGGGCCGACCAACTGGGGGCAAAGGGTGTTTTAAACCCCCCGCTGGTTTGGTGGTCTGGACCATTTTGGGGCGGGGTGGTCGCAACCAAACGGGGGCCCCCCCAAAGGGTGGGTCTGCCGCCCATACTTTTTCCCTCCCTTGGTTAGCCCCCCCTGGGGGGTCAAAATTGGCCCCTCCAAATTGGGCCCCACCGTTTTTGCGGCCCTTGGAATTTTTGGTTTTTAAAAGTCCGTGTGCACAATAAACTGATGTCTCGTACAAAAATTTGAACTAAAACATTTGGCGCGCAGACTGTGTGAATTTGAATACAGGCGCTCCCACCTCCTCTCACTGTTTTTATTAAGGGGCCATTCAACTACGACGTCACACGTTTTACGGAGGGAGGAGTCAGAGGCCGATTGTGGTGTGGGGGAGAGTGAGAGGAAGACATTGTGACATCACGCTAATAAGCAGTGTAAAAAAAAATGCCGTATGCAAAAGGCGTGGGCCACTTATAAAAGAACTGAAATCAGCAATCCTCAGCTACTTCAGCTCAAATTGTCACTGGCTGAAGTACATGGCTGCACTTTGCTCAGATGCTTCCGAACAAGTTAGCGCTTGACCGGATTCGTCGAAACGCAATCAAATTTTAATGAAATCTCAATTTAGGCACCTAATTGGGACGATCTAGTCGCGTTTCTATGTTTAAATGCCCAGGAACAATGACCTGGACACATGTGACGTCACGGGGAGGGGTGAGTCATAACCGTGACCATTTTTGAGACTACTGGGGAGAACGGGTCGAAAATTGAGCACTGTTTTCAAGGGGAAACAAAAACTCCAAAAAATTTTTAAAAACACTAATGCAAAATTCAAAAAAAAATTTCAAAAAATTTTTCAAAAAAAATTTTAAATTCAATAAAAATTTAAAAAATTTTCCCCAAAATTAAAAATTGAAAAAAAAATTGAAATTCTTCAAAATTCCTGAATTTCTAAAATTTTTTGAGGGGAAAACCCCTTTAAAAAGGGACAAAATTCATTCAAAATGTGTCAAATTTAAATAAATTAAAAATTGAAATTTCAACCCTATTAAAATGAATTTCATTTTTTCTTAATTTAATGGTTTTTTTGTTTAAACGGGACGAAAACCGTTGAGGGGAAGGCCCCTCCGGAAACTTGGTTTGAGGGAGATCGCTTTTTGACACCCTCTCCAAGTCTCACGCAGGAAAGACGGCCAGACGTGGGCGGTGGGGCGCCGAGTATGGCAGCGCCTGCATTCACGCGTCCGAACGGGTCGGTTGAAACAGAGGGATCTGACACACTCGTTGGACCAACCCACTACTGCGCGATGAAGGCACAGACTCCAGAGGACGTTGCAACCTACTTCTTGGATGCTCCCGAGATGCCCTCGGCGATCAAAGGCCCAAAATTCATTGAAATTCACCAAAATTCATTAAAAAACAGAGAAATTCATAGAAATTCATTAAAATTTATGAAATTCAAAAACTGCAGCCAAGTTCAAAAAATTCATCAAAATTCAAAAAAATCTTGAAAATTCGCAAAAATTCATTGAAATTTGTCAAAATTCAAAAAATTCAACAAAAATTCAAATATTTCAAAAAAATGCATGAAATTCACGGCCATGTACACCAAAATTCAAAGTAATTTCCCCTTGGCACTGATTTACATTGTTAGGAACGTTTTTAACATATTTTTAACATGGTGCCACAAAACACTTTTTTGAGGTCAAACTTGTCTTTTTCTCCAAGTTTTGTTCTAATCACAGCTAGGAAAAGACAAGATTGACCTCGAAAAAATGTTTCGAGGCACCGTGTTAAAAAGACGTTTCAAGAGGTTCTAATCAGATAGAGATAGTTGAAAAAAATATTTTTCCCCCCAAGTCAAGTGGTAAAATGACCCAAAACTTAAATTGTTCACAATTCCTCTAATAATTGCCGGAGATGGCTGAAATTTTGTGGGGGTATTTACCTGTGGTTAGGCACCATTTAAGCCAAAGAGGAGCGAAATCGCCGATAGTCTACTTCAAACGGCCCTCATGTGCTCAAATCTTCAATAAAAATAGTGAAATTGAGCAACTTCGAGAGCCCGTAGCGTCCAAACCCGTTGTAGGGGGTTGTTTTCTTGGGATACTTTATAATTGATAATTGTTTGTTGCTTTGTGGGTATCAAACGAGGACGAAAATTCTAATCTGATTGCCACTCTGGCGTGTAATGTGAAATCTCAACGCTCAAACAAGAAACTTGCGTCCTCGAGCCCTGGTTCACGCTATAATTTTCATAACTGTACAAAAGACACGGTTGATTTTAAAGAAACAATGCACTGGTAAAACGAAAGCGTAACTCTATGCTTGAGTCAAGCACAAAGTTGCGCTTGAAGACAGACGTTACGCTTGAAATAAAGCATACTCTGGAAATTCCCCTTTGCATTTTATACAGGGGGAATCTGGGCCTGTTACGCTTGAATCATGATGGTAATACTACGCTCTAGTTTAGCCAGTGTGCTCTTCCCCTGTGATGATGTTCAGCTCGTTGGGTCCCGAAGGAACCAAACTTTGGCATTCCGAATGCGAATACCAGCGTTCAACGCAGAATATAAAAGAATAACGAAAAACATGTGCTTTGTCACCGGTTCGGAGGGTTCTCCACAAATGATGTCCTTCGTCGATCGTTCAGCCCCAGACCGCCTCCCCGCACACTGACGTGAAAAGAGGTATTCTGACAGACTAAAATCACGATTCGACACTTTTCATGCAGATGTAGTGTGAAGAAACTGATTGAGGGGGGAAGATAAGGCGAACGATGTGGTAACGCTGTCACCACCGAATCGAACGACTCCCTTCACGTCAGCCAAAGCAGTGGCATTCCGAGATGGGCAGCCCTCGTGGAATGACGTGTTGTGCGGCGCTCATCGTGGTGCTGTTGGAGTGCGCTAGCGCGCTACCCGCAACCTGGTGCGCTGCGCCACTGTCAAACGAGAGCACGTCCATGGAGATTGAGGCACTGCAAGTCCACAGCCTGCTGGAACCAGCCCTGCTGCCCGCCGGGTCGTCGCCGCCCAGCTTGCTCATCATAGGAAAGCCGCGGTGGCTGGGTTCGTTCCTTCACATGCAGCAAACGGCGACCGTGTCCATTTTGCCCAGATCGAGTGGGCCGTGGCCAGGCAGACAGTGGCCACGCTCGACCGTTAATCACATTCTCTTGGCTCCGAACTCTGTCATCATTTTGATTGCCGAAGACCAATCGTCCGATCTGATCGCCACTCTCGCTGCCTTGATGCGCCCAATTAAGAGCCGAATACTTCTTTGGACGGCGTACAAGTCAGTCAAGACACTGAATGATCTAAAGAAGATATCAGCAGCTACAAGATGGTTCCGTGTGATGACTATGACACTGGTTGTCGGGGACGCTGAACACGGTGCGACTACATACTCCGCATTCTTTGAAAACAACAACTGGGACTCCCCGTCATCTTGGCGAGCGGGCGCAGTGCCGTTCTTCCCGCCGTGCTTCTTCCAAGGAAAGGTAAACGGCATAGTGCATTTTACCAGTCTAGAAAAAGGCGTGTATCACACCTTGCTGACGGCGTACGTGAAGGCAGTCGTTCATAAGCACGCAAACGTCAGCTTTGTGGAAAATACTTCTGGAAAATGGAGAGATTGTTTGAGCGAGTGTCATTTTGATGTGGTTAGTACTGAACATCCGATTCGAATTCTGGATGGAACGCAATGGGATTTCGTTACACGGAGCATCAATAGCGTGTTGGTGGTGGTGCCCTCCGGGATGGGGAAAGGCAGCTGCCTTGTCGACAGCGTGACCAAAGAATTCACTGCGCCTTTCTGGATTGCCTCGGGGTTGGCTTTCCTCACAATCGCCGCCGGATTGCTGCTGCTAAGCGGGCGCACTACGGCTGTCTTGGACGCCCTGGCCCCCATGGTGGGGCAGCCTGCGTCGCTCGTCGGCAGGGACGCGCGCCGCCCGTTGCTGGGCAGCTGGCTGCTTGTCTGCGTCGTCCTGTCGTCCGCCTACACCGGCAAACTTCTCTCCGAGCTCCTCGTCAAGTGCACCTCCAGCAACATCCAAACCTTGGACGAACTGGCGCAAACCAACCTCTCCGTACTATAAAACCCGACAATGCAGCTGAAATGGCACTCTTCGTTTCTGCCTGACGCACTGGCGGAGAGAGTGACCAGAATCCAGGGGCCAGTGGGAGCGAGCTTGCGTGCCGTGACCAACCGAACCGCCGCACTTTTGCTGATCAAGTCTGCTTTCCCTTTTCTGGGGCCTCACCTGAAATCGTTGGCAAACGTGCACACCTTTGTTCTACCGGTTGAACTTGTCACAAGCCATGCCTTCATGAAGCGAGGATCGCCTGTGGGAAAGGCTTTTGCCAAGACCTTGAGTCGATGCGCGGCTGCTGGAATCAGTCCCCCATTGTAAACCCGTTTTCAGAACCTGAAGGACACCCGCCAGTACCTCTTGGAACGAGCCAAAGCTCTCCACGGCGACCCCAAGCTCGCTGCGCTGAACATTGCCAAGCTGCAGATGAGCTTCGTGCTGCTCGCCAGCGGCCTCCTGTTGGCGACTGCAGCTTTCGTGGGCGAGCTGCTCGTTTTTCGGTTCAAGAGGCCAGCTGTGGAGACCCTCCCAGGCACACCTTTGCTGGCAGTGGAAGGGCGACCAGGAATGTGATTAGAAAT